CCATTGTGTTTGTTTCCTTTGCCTGTGTTTTCCCCTGTGTCTGAAAGGAGGTGTGGTCTCCACCTATTCATCTCCGAAGGGTGTGACCTCGAACAGCTGACGGTAATCAGCCATCAGGGGACTCCCATATCAATCCGGGTCTTCCTGCCATTCAGCTTCAGATCGTTCCGACGTCAGAGTGGTAAACTACCCATTCAGACCATCTCTCTGCTCACTGAGAATAGACGCTGTCTTTTTTCACATTTTTCTGTGTTTGCCCTAGTGCTCGAAGATTCCTACCTGCCGGCTGGCGAGCTCTCCGAGGCCAGTCTTCCCTCCGGACATAACCCGTCCCTGTGCGCTGCATTTGTATAAATATCTAAATAAACATCTTATTTTCCAGTCGGAAGAACCTCCCTGTGACTCCTGTGTGCTGCGCTTGGGCCCGCTCCCATCTACCTCACCCTAACACCGACCTCGGTAGCATATGCTTGTCTCAAAGATTAAGCCATGCAAGTCTTCCCTTTTTGTCCAAAAGTCTTGAACGTGCTATCTTTAACCAACTTTCCTCCTATCTCTACCATAACAACCTCCTTCACCCCCACCAGTCAGGCTTCAAGACAGGCCATTCCACAGAGACTGCTCTCCTTGCTGTCTCAGAGCAGCTCCACACTGCTAGAGCCGCCCCTCTGTCCTCATCCTTCTGGACCTTTCTGCTGCATTTGACACCGTAAACCACCAAATCCTTATTTGCTCCCTTCAGGAACTTTGTGTCACAGGCTCTGCTCTCTCCCTTCTCTCGTCCTACCTTACCGCACCTGGCGGCCGTAACCTGGCGAGGTCCTCTTACTACTGGACTAGTTACTAGAGGTTCTGTCCTCAGCCCCCTCCTCTTCTCGCTCTACACCAACTCTCTCGGCTCTGTCATTTGCTCGCATGGCTTCTCCTACCACAGCTATGCCACCCAACTAATTCTCTCCTTTCCTCACTCGGACACTCACGTCCCTTTGGTGACTCTGGATAACCACGAGCCGATCGCTGGCCCCCCGTGGCGGTGAAGTCTCAATCGAATGTCTGCCCTATCAACTTTCGATGGTACTTTATGTTCCTACTATGGTGACAATGGGTAATGGGAAATAAGGGTTTGATTCCGGAGAGGGAGCCTGAGAAATGGCTACCACATCCAAGGAAGGCAGTCGGCACGCAAATTACCCACTCCTGACTCATGGAGGTAATGACGAAAAATCTATTGAGTCCCTGTAATTGGAATGGGTGCACTTTAAATCCTCAAATCAAGGATCCATTGGAGGGGCAAGTCTGGTGCCAGCAGCCACGGTAATTCCAGCTCCAATAGCGTGTATTAAAGTTGCTGTCGTCAAAAAGCTCGTAGTTGGATCTCAGGATTGAGCTGATGGTCCGGCGCGAGGCGTGCCACCATCTGTCCCAGCCCCTCAGGTGTGGAGTTTGACCGGGGCGGTACACCTATCAAACGTTAACGCAAGTGTCCTAAGGCGAGCTTAGGGGGGACAGAAACCTCCCGTGGAGCAGAGGGGGAAAAGCTCACGATCCTTCTGACTTTTGGGGTTTTAAGCAGGTGTCAGAAAAGTTACCACAGGATTAACTGGCTCGTGGCGGCCAAGTGTTCATAGCAATGTCGCTTTTTGATCCTTTGATGTCAGCTCTTCTTATCATTGTGACAGAATATTCATATCAGAATTCACCAACCGTTGGATTGTTCGCCCACTAATAGGGAACGTGAGCTGGGTTTAGACCAGATGTTGAGGACATTTTTTTACCATGAATTCATGTTCTTTGGTGACTTCAGCTGGTACTCTGTATTTTGTAAGAGCAGAGATGCCAGCAAAATAACTACTTGTGGGAATGCAACATAAGTGGTCACTTCTTCACTGTAACAAATTGCTGTAAATTTACGGTGCATTTCTGACGGCATCTTACAGTATGTCATAATAACTGTAACATGCAGTTAAATTTCCATCCCTTGCTTGTAAATTAACGGCCAATGTCATGAATAAACAGTTAAAGCTGTCAATTTACGATAATATCAGACTACCGGAATTCAACTGCATGTTACATCCATTTTATGAAGTGGTGGAAATACAAGTGTAGTGAATCACAATCCATCTACATCTGTTGTAGGTTAATGTATGGAAGCCAATGTCAGCCACTGAAAAACAGGTCCTGTAAGTCATCATAATGAGATAGTATCTCAGTCACTTTTTTATCCAAAATGTCCATTTATGTGGAGTAATTGGGGTTAGGGGTCTTGCTCAGGAACACTTCGACTTGGCACAGGGAGCAGCCAGGATTCGCTCCGGCGACCTTGCGCTGCACAGCACATTCTCCCTATCCCATGCGCCGCCTTCGCTGTCATTTTAGTGGCCGGAATGTAAAGATTATAAATATTTCTATTATTCAAAGTGTTCATTGCCTAACAGTCATTTGAGTGTCAATTGTGACCAACTGCTCCTGAACGTCACGTTCAGACGCATAGTCTCAGTTCATCCAGAACACAGTTCAACATCGGAGGAGTTTCTCATTGCCTCGTCTCTCCAAGTAACGTTGGTAAGTGTTATTTGCCTAGCATGATTAACATTCTCTTTCCTTACATCTTGTTGTCTTCCTCATCTTTGTAATTTGAATATTTTACCAATGACAGTGTTTCTAAATATTTTATTTTGGTTTGTTTTACAGTAGCCACTGGATTAAGGACGCCAGCCGTTTGCTGCGGTCAATTGAAAGTGTTCCATAGCGTATTGTTGCAGTTAGTTTACCTTGTTCCTTATAATTTTAGGATTAATTTTTTTGTTATTGTATACATGCGGCATATTTTATGTTTTGTTCTTGGTTACAAATGTCTAACATTTTTGTCTTAAAGGCATCTAATAAACTCCAACCACTATGACCAAAATGAGTTGTGGTTGTCTTTCTCTAATTTGCGGGGAATTAAATGCAAAAGTATATAAGTAAACGGTAACATTCTGTTATTTATAACACAAAAACAGTAATCCTATGATAACAAACTGTAGTCCAATATACGGCAACATACTGTGTTCTACGGCAGTGTACCATAAAAAAAGAGCAAATTACTGGCATCCGCTGCCAGTATTTGGCCAGAACTGTAAAGTTCACGCCAATTTACTGTAATCCATTTTACGGGAACAAAGTGTTAAAATCATTTATGGTATTATGCCGTAAAATAACGGTAAATTTATGGCGTCCTTGCTTCCAGTAAGTCACCGTTAATTTACGGTGACATTTTTTACAGTGTTCTTATACTGCTCTGTGTAGGACAGTGAATGGTAGTTGGGTAAAGTCACTTCATTACAAGTTTATAAAACGTCCTTGAATATATCCGCATCGCATTACTTTCACTAGCAGTCTTCTGCCATGTGGCGGTTATTTTACTGCTGAGTTTTATTTAGGGTTCTAATAATCATTTCGAACAAGATTATTCTGTCCTCCAACAAGTGTGCATGGGAGAAAGAGCTTCCGTGTGTGCTCAGCTTTGTAGTACTATACATCAAGGTAAATGTTGACCTCTTAAGAATAACTTTGATCAAAGCGGTCAAATGTGACAGGTGGTCGAAGGCCTACAAGAAGGCAATAACTCTGTGGTCCTCCTGCTGCATTAGGTAGACTGATGTTTCATCAAACTTCACATTCTGTTACCTGTCGTTTTTCAGTCTGCAGACCATGCCGTATGTTTCCTGAGTGTTCTGCCACAAGAGCTCCCGGATGTAACAGTATTCAGTTCATATTTAGTCTGTTCCAAGCTGAATTTAGATTGACATGATAAAATAAGTAGTGGCAAGAACAGGAGCAAAGTCTTTGGCCTAGTTAGGACGCACAGTGAGCTGTCCATGGTTCTGAATGCGTCTTTTACTGGCTTTCAGTTCACCTCAGTCTATTCTTTATTGGCATACCTCCATACCGTGCTAAAGCTGAGGGTGACAAAATGAATTTCATTCTGTGTAAAGAAAGATCAGTCTGATAAGAACAGATGGGCGGATGTGTTGTTTGTTCAGCGGGGTTGCCTGTTACGTGAGACAAAAATCAAAAGATCTTGTAGAAAAAAAGAAATTGGACTGAATGCACTTTTTTTTCTCTTTTAGTCAGTCAGTTTATTCAACTCCATAGGTGCATTGTTGCGCGTTACAAGAAGTAAGATAACATTGACTAAATACTCATCTCTCTTTTAGAGATTATTTTGTAGTTTACAATATTTTACTTTACCCACGGAGCTATAAATCATAATGCATTTTTTTATGCATGTTGGGAAGTTTAACTTATTGCCATGCCTTCTTCCTATAGGCAGCTGCTCCCCTCAATACTCTAATAGCAGTCTGTGTAGAAAAGCAATGCTAATGTTCTATGTATCACAGTAAAGCTGACATGGCTGCACTAGTCGCATTATCATAACCAGTTGTGGTAATGCATTTTATGTTCACATTCATAATGTGGCTTGGACCAAATTTAAGGGGCGCTTCATTGATTTTACACATGAAGGTCAGTTTATTTGTCATGAAGAGTTCCACACAGCTTGCGGGAAAAGCTGTAAACTGTCCTCCGTGGCTCTGGATGAGTGTCAACACGTATGAGAAAACGTGGGGTTTTCATGGCTGGAGCTTGGAAATCAAATATAATTTACCCATCAGAGAAGTCATCTAGTTTGTGGGGGGTTTGACAATGCAAAGGAATATACATTTTCTTTGTAAATGGATGCCAATGGCTGCATGAAAAGCAAAACACAATGTTGATGCAAAATGGTTCAGTACAAATAATAATGCGGGAAAATTATATTGGTGTGGTCATTTAAATCGTCTTCATGCAAGTGGGATGAATGATTGGTAACCTAAATAGGCTAAAGCCCTTCACTTGAGATTTCTCTCGCGCTCTCTCGCTCTCTCTGGAGTTTGTTTGATGCAGCAGTATCTCAGTATCTCCCGGCTCGCTTGGCAGACGGAAGCAGTCCTCCTCTCTCTCTCTTTCTCTCTCTCTCTCTCTCTCTCTCTCTCTCTCTCTCTGTGTGTGTCTTGGACTGGCTGTGTTCTCTGAGCATCCAGGTGAATCTGAAGCTTGATAATGGACACAGCCGTGGACAGCGGCTGTGGTTTTTCCTCCCGACGGTCACACACAAACTAGCGTTAACCGGGCAAACAAGCCGTCAAAGGAGAGAATACCGGCGTCGCGGCTGTTTATCACAGCGTGTTTCTTCCTCTTCTCCTTCTCCCCCCCCTCTTTCTTTTCTATCTGCGCGTCTTCTGGAACAGATGTCCTGCCCGGGAAGTTACGGACGAAACGCGGATAAAACCACCGAGTCGTCATCTCCAGTTGGCAAGAGGCGCTCCGACTCGAAGGTAAATGACGGAATATCTGAATCTCCTCGTGCGTCTGTGTGTTTTCAACATCAAGTGAAGATTTCGTTCAAAGTGCGTGGGAAAGGTGACTCACGTTGATTTCGGAAGCTGTATTGAAGTCGGTATTTAACATTTCCGCTGCGCGTTAAAGGGGGGTAAAAGACACGCGGGCTGCTGGTTGAAAACCTCGCAGTTTACTGTGGCAGAATTTGGGGTTTGTGTGTCTGTGGTGTAGCATAACAACGGTGGGCCATCTGCCTGTGTGATGCTGCGAGTCTAAAAACGATGCAGCTCCTCTGCCTCGGTGTCTCAGCAATGGTATTTGCGACAGGTAAATGCATCAGCAATGGAGGTTTGGAATCTGTGGTGTTTTTGGCCGAATGACACTGTCACATCGGGTCAATACGATGTTTAACACGCGGTACAGGTTGGTTTCTTGACCCTGTGTGTAAATGACAAACAGCATTTATGAGGAGAAAGTAGTCTAATATGAGTTTGAGAGTTTTTGTACCAAGATGAGAAGAAACCCATCCTGCATTCCCATAGGCTCTTACGGAGGTGTAATATGGTGCCTTAAGTTTATCGGTGTACTCTCACAAGTATCATGTTTTCATAATACATAAAAGACATCCTGTATTCCCAAGATTTGAGGAATCCGAGCTTGCTTTGGTGGCCCAAAGGACTCAAGGGGCATCATTCTGTTTGTTAAAGACACTCCAGCACAGACCCTCTTGAGAGGAATGATTCAAGTAGGTTTTTAGTTTTTTTTTTTTTTTTTCACTGAGAATTGGGACAAGCAGCATTGACTCGTGTTTTATGGAGGCGGAAGAAAAACATTTGTTTTCTGCAAAAAGTGATTCATTTGTGTGTCTTGCAAGTGGCAAAGCAAATTGATAAATTGCTGCCATTTGGCTCCAGGAGCACCCTTACATTTAGTGCATTTCCAGATGGAATGATTTAGCTGAGACTACCAGTCGAATCCTTACAAGGTCAGTTAATCCACAAACTCAATTGAATCACCAAACCAGCTCTGTCCACTCATTAGTCCTCACATCATCCACAGCACATGGGACAACTAAAAAATATCCTGGAGAAGATGTTTCCAGAAAAAAAAATACTGTGATGAAGATGAATGGACTAGTATGAAGGATTCATCTGTCTCTGATGGGCACTTTAAATGATACAGCACCCGTAGCTGATCCAGATCCAGCTATGCTCGGCCCAGGACACTAATTAACAATAATCAATAGTATTTACTAGTTTAATGAAATTAAACCCAGTGTGGCTCTACAGTGGATGACATGAGACAAGTTGTAATCAATTGATGTACAACAGCATGTGTGGATCCTTTAGTAGTTTGCAGTGTATTTCCTTCCATCAAATTAACAATGGATTAAGGTTTAGCTACCCTTTTAGCAAAGCTTTTTGAGTGACCTGAAAAGCGGCCTAACTGCTGCGTTAGTGGCCTCGATTTGCGTCAGCAAAAAGTAATGAAAAAAAAGTAGCAGACTATGCTAACTCATAGCCATTTATATCCGTCTTCCCTCGCTGGCTCTCTCTCTCATCCACTTTCACACACTACCTCTCTCTCCATCCTGCTAGTATGCACTCACTCAAACTGTGTCTCATCGTATCTCGTCACTCACAGTGGCACTCTGCCCTCTCTGCATGTCTGTCACACACACACATGGACACACAGAAAAAGAAGCGCACCAGCCCACCGCCATGTTGGATATTATTTGATAAAATCTGATGTTTGCACTTCTCATCTGCATTATCTTGTTTCACAATTTAATTATGTTTATTTTATTGCTTCATTTGTTGACAACCTGCACTACGTCTTGAGCTGTTGTTATCTACCGTACATGGTTACTTCTTTTCATCTGCTTATTGAAATACTCTGCAGTGACATGGGTTACCAAAGTAAGGTAATAAAAAATTATTATTATTATTATTCATAATCTGAACTCTAGCTGACTCTGTGTTGGTTCAGATTTGTTGTAGTTGCCTATGTAGCCTTTGAAAGAGGCTTCCCGTCATGATGGTTGGCTCAGGGCAGGAGCAGAAAACAACATATTTTATAAAGCTTCAACCTAAAAATCATTACCGTCAGTTCAAGTGTACACTATTACACACTGCCTTTTTGTATTTTCACAGCTTTCCATTACAATGAACTCTGACAGGGAATTTGAAATCTCTTTTAATTCAGATTTGAGTATATAGGGGAACACTGCTGGCAACCTATCAATGATATGAAAATCAAAAAAAAAAAAAAAATTGAATGGACCTGCCTTGATGTATGTCACGAATGGCCGCATTTAGAGTGACATATTTTATAGAGATGGATCAGAATATAATTGCCAATACCAGGCAATATTCCAAGGACGGGTCATTTCTGTTTTCTTTGTACGGTGGCTTTGTTTTATGGGGATGGTATATTGCAGAGGGGCATTTATAATGTATAGAGCAGGCCTGTATTAAATATCTGCAGAGTCGGAGGTGTGTATTCCACTGCTCAGGCAGGGGGGCTGGATTACATCATATTGCATCAATGAAGGGATGAAGGCAATAAGGGGAAATGGGGTAAAAATAATTTCCCCTCTTGCGTTTCCGTAAGGATTTTAGTTGAAGTGTCTGGGCTAACTCATAATTAATTTGATGCTTTAATGTTACCGCAGTAACTATTAGTTAATAATAATTAATAATGTTTGCATCTTAAGGAAAAAGGTTAAAGACAAAAGATTTTACGTTTAAGTTCTGAAGTTCAAGCAGGAAGACATAAAGCTTCAGAAAGGGATAAAGTAGCTGAAATCCATATTCAAGCGGCCTCACTGGCCGCTGTCGTAAAGATAAGATGCCGTTATTCTCCGCAATTGGAAACTGTCAGCAGAAGAAACCAAATATTTTATGTCTGTGTGTGCTTTTTAGACTTTTTAGAAATCGATCAAAGCTCAGCATTTATTTACAATACTGTTATAAGTTTTTTTTTTTTACTGAAAAACCCTACTGCTGTTTTTGGTAGGGAAATGACAATGCAACATTTATTCATTTCTGAATATACACAACCGTACACCCAACCATACAGCAATAAAACCTCAATTCTCGACTTGTTTCAGGGCGCGTCGGAGAAACGAAGCTGTCGTTCTCGCCGAGCACATAATGAGATTAAAGAGCGAGAGACGGTGCCCTCTTCTCTACAGTAGCTGAACCATCTTAACGGGGAAAATAAGTTATTCGAAAAGCAGCCGAAGATTTAAGGCGTGGATGGCGAGGGGGGCGGCGGGAGGGGACGCACTTCGCGGCATCGATCGGACCCTGAAAGCACCGTCTCCACCTTACTGTCAAAAAGAACAACAGCGAGCGCGTAGAAAACTCCTTCGATCGCGAGTAGAGATTCTTCACGTTTTGCAAGCGAGCAAATACCTCACGGAGACTAACTTTTGCTCGCGGATGTTTGATTTTGGTTAAATTCTTAAGGTCATTTAATCATTATGTTTTGATCAGAGTTGTGATTAAAGGTTTGGGTGACAAAAGGATTTCGCAAAGCATTACTGTTGATATTTTTCAACATTCACTGGCATTGTTTTTTCTTTGATTACACCGGCGGTGTTTTGCAAATACAAAATATGTAGTGGAAGATTTTCTCATGCAATCGGGAATCAGTTATAAAGTCTCTTGTGATTTAAAGCTGCATTTTCTGTTTATTTCTTGCAAGGAAGAAGACTACAACGGCTATACATCGACAGCCAGCAGCAAGCTTCTTCTTAATGTTTGAGAGCAACACAGATATATTTATACATCGACAGGGTTAACACCTTGGTTTTGTTATGCTAAAAGGATGGAGGCAGGCAAGAAGGTCCCAGAGCCGAAGTTAGACTCAAGTTGCTTACAACAGGTGTTTGATTCGATTTAGGACTGGGGCTGGAGACATTCACACCTTCTCCTTCTGCCACGCAGCCATGTTATGCAAAGACAAATGGGATCAAAGAGAAGAGGTGCTCTGAGATTCTTCTACTCAGATGATTCCCACACAGCTGGTGTCATGGAACTTCCTGAGAATTATGATTAGCTTTAGACATTAATCTAATAAAACATTATGGTATAATTATATTTTTACCATTACAAATATAATTAAGTTTAAACAACACTTAAAGCTAGGGAGAGATAATGTTTGGTTCTAAAAGCACAGCTTTTCAGGAAAATGTCAGTCGACGAGGACCCCAGTCCGACAGGGTAAAAGATGATGTGAACTAAGTTTGCATACTGTTTACCTACTGACTATTTTAAATACATGTAATGCATTAAATAAGTGTTCACAACAGAGATACAGAGATTTTTTATCCGGCAAGGCTTAAGCAGTGTAAAACCGCAGGATAATTATGCACTTTTCCAAATATCTGTTAATTTTTCACCTACAGCCACAGTCATAAACAAACGGCATCAAAAAAAGGAACATATAAATACATTTATACGTGCAAAAGCAATCATTTTGCCTTTGTCAGTAGAGTGACTGTCGGGAGATCTTTTATTTTTTAGCTTTTTAGGTGATTTTGTAGTAACTTGACTGAATGGCCCATGAAGTGAAAAATACCATCATGATGGATGTGGTGTGTAATTCAAAATATTTTCCTTTTTATGGTCCATCCATCCATCCATTGTCAAACCGCTTATCCTGCACACAGGGTCGCGGGGGGGCTGGAGTCCATCCCAGCCAACTTCGGGCGATACCTTTTTATGGTGTAACATTAAAAAAAATTGTGCCGTTCATGCACATCCTCTTATCCTAATTTCTTCTTAAATCTTTTTCTGTATATTCCCATTTTACCTTACCCGTATCCTGCCCCCTCCTTCTAGAGCAAACACCTACCCATCCAGACGATGCATCTCCCTCCCTCTCCCCTGAGCCACCTCATAACAAGGCCGGTCCACACTCAGGCCTTCATTAGGATGCAGACCCCTCTCTCTCTCGCTCTTTCTCAGCAGCCTTAATCCTTTCCCCC